GCGGGGTGAGGGATCTTGTATGTACATTGCTGAGGAATCCCATACTAAAAGGAAACGGCCGTCCAGTGCTTCCAGGTTTTCCATGGTGGTCTAGCTTCAATTGACTCATGATTTCAATCAATGAAATATCTAAAATCTCCATAAAACACCTTCTGACAATATTGAAGAAACCAAAATGAACTCATTTAAGATAAACTGATAAAACTATCTTGGCTAGCTAGTTGAAATCAAGATAGTGGCTTTAAATTTTTTACCTGATGTTAGGAAGGCTATGTTAGTTAACATCTATTGAATGAAGAGTTTCAAGGAAAGCAACTCTATTCGATGTTTGAAAAGCAAAAAAGAAATTCCTTTTTTTAATCATAATATAAGAATGACACGGTGTGAATTTGGAATTTTGAAGCACATACTCCTTTTGATCCAGATTCCATATAAAAGATATGTTAGAACATATTTTTCTCCTTTTTCTCTTATATATGATAATCGTTCAAATAAATGAAGTGATTACTGGTGAACTTAATGAAAAACATTTTCCTGTCACATAGGGTGTTTGTAATGGTCAAGAAATTCATTTACATGACTCTTAGTTTGAAAACTGCTGTAACGTTTTCACAAGAGATAACAAATAATTACTGTGATCAGAAAAAATATCCACCAATGAACAGATGTTTTCTAAAATAAGTGTCTTTTTATATTAAAAATACCATGTCTCAAAATTAAGAAAATTGATTCCTGACTTGAGCAAGTTCATAAGCCCCATAAATCTAGTACATACGTTTGAGTTTCTATGATCTTTTTCAACTGATATCCGTAGTCTTTTTATTTACCTGACTAATTATAAGGTTATTATTAAGTCTATTTTATTCTAGCATGGAACTCTTCAGACGTGTGCATCCAGTGTTGTAAAACAAATATCAACAATAAAAACGAATAATGGTCAGACAATATCAAGACTTGGATAAAGTGGAATACGTGGGATATTAGATACCGTTTAAATGGTTCAAATTGTAAGCTATAGTCATATGAATATGATTCTCTCCTAAGTACGATCGTAGACAAATCTTGTTTAAAAGTTCCATACTATAACGAAACAGAGGTAAACAGTGTTTTCTGATATTCAGCAACCTAACAACTAGATTAGTTCGTGATTAACTACACTAGACTAGAGGATAACCAATTACAATTGTGCTTTATACTACTTTATAAAATAAAAGAATTTAAGAATATGAAATCCTGGACATAATGAACTGATTAGAACATTCAGTTAAGTGAATTCACTTGATGTTGTTTTATTTGCATCTCCTCATTGTTATTTAGGAGTGCAGTTCATCAGTCTCCTGATGGCATATGTGCATCCTGTGAGAATTGTCTCGATATAGCCTTAAGTTATAAACGTTTCAATCAAAGATGGATAGTGGCTAGCATTGGAATCCACGATGCGCATTTCATCCTATTTTGGACTCGTGAACTGGATGTACCTGCATCCCAGATTTGATGTTCACTCTAGAACTCCCACTTAGTACCGTCCTTTTCAAGCGTCATCGCGTTATCCACTTAGCTACTGAATTCTGATAGCCACCAGTTCATTGATAAAATTAAAACTTAAAAAAACATGATTTAACTACATTTTGTAAATTTCAATTGAATATTTTATTTTTATTCTACATTAGAAAACTAAAGAAAATAAATATATATTCTCCACAATTTAAATTAAGAATTAGTTCCTTTCTGTTTTTGTCTAGTTAACTTAAAATCAGATAAAGATTTATCTTTTTTTATTTTTTTTATTTTTTAATCATCTCAACATAGACATTTATTAGTTTTATTCATAATAAATAAGTAGTGTGTGAGTAAGATAACATCAGTTACTATGTGAAATAAACATTCCTTTTTCTATATCACTTTGATTATATCAATAGGGAGATTTTAAATTCTATTATTTATATTATTTAAGAAAAGAAAAATCTATTGTACTATCGGACATTTTACTAAAGTCTAGTTCTTTGTTGTTGTTGTTGTTGTGGTGGTGGTGGTGGTGGTGTTGTTGTTCTACTAAACTACTGTTAGTAATAATAACAATATAACTAATGCTCTTTGAATTATTATAAAGATAATCTATGGTATAGTTTATATGATATGAATTATTATTTTATAAAATTTATTTCTTCCCTATTAATTGATAAACTATCTAAATAATATATAAACAGAACAATGTATCACTAGTGTAAAAATGTCCAAGTTTCTATTTCTTCCGGCAATAGCAAAGCTTGTCATTCAATTCTCTATTTTTTTTTTTGCAATTCACTTACATTTTTAAAAGCCATATGATGTTGTATTTAATACTTTTACTTCAGTAATAAATAGTAAACTACTCTATTTTGCTATATTTTATTATACTTGATTAATTAATTTAATGAGTACTATTGTAATTCTTATTGTCATTTTTAAATATAGCCTATAAATGAATTTTGTAAAACAATGAGTAAATAGATTTAAACTTAGGTGAGACTATAGTTTGTGAACAACCTTTAAGTGACATCAAAGCGACCTTGAAAGTGTCTACCTACTTAATAGGGCTATATGAAGGTCATAAAGCAGTTTGAAGAATAAGGACAATGATTTACAGTTGATGGTAAGGGTTAGGAATTAGATTAGGGTTTTCATCACGAACTGACATTACCTAAAATACCAAGATCCTATGTGGACGAATGGGTGAGTGAATTTCTCACCAAAATTCAAGACCTATCATCCTAAATTGGATTAGTTCGTCCATAAGTTATAGTCTCACCCTAAACTTATGTAATGCATGATGCAATATAATGCTATCTACATTTATATCTGACACACAAACATGAATAAATCACAAATTATAATCGAATTACAATGCGAAATAAAATAACAGTCGTGGATGCGCACTGCTGCGGAGTCACATACTAGGACGAAACAGCCGTCCAGTGCTTCCAGGTTTTCAATGGTGGTCTAGCTTCAACTGACTCATGATTTCAATCTGTGAAAATTTCTAAGATCTCCACAAACCCCTTCTGATAAAAAAATAATAGTTATTTGGCTAACATGTAAAGGAACATAATTCTATAGTACTTGTGAACAGTGAATGACAAGTTTTTCATTGATCGGGATGTTGTTCATATTTTCATTTTAATAAATTTTACGTATCTGTGGCTTATTTTGTAGATGATCGAATGTGATTCATTTCCAACTATTTTCTGAGCTTCTTACTTAGAGTAGTTTATCAATAACCATATAGTCAAATATGTAGAATTTACCGAATAATGAAACTTTGTTCACCAAGTAATAATATCACTTGAAACAGATGATCTAATATCTATCATGAAACTATAATTAAACTAAAACAAATAACTTATTGGTTTTAGATAGAAATATTGGTAAATATATTTTTTTCTGCTTAGCGTTTTTTTAGCGAGTTAGTTTTCTATAGGACAGTTTCGCTAACCCCATGCCAAACCCTCCTCCTTTATCCGGGCTTGAGACCGGCAGTAGCCCAAAAGGGGTTCCAGGAGGAGTTAAATACATTATGCGCATAATTATTTAGTGTAAGGTATTTTCGATAACATTTTTTAAGTAATTTTCAGTTGTTAATAAATAATAAGAATACAGAAGTAAATAATAAAATTAATCCGTTCAACTTAGGAAGTAATAAATTATATACTGAATTTAACATAACGTTTTATAGTATAACTTTATTAGTTGAACTGATTCATATATGAAAATTATGGCATATAGACAATATTTGCCTAAAAATGATGACTGTCAAGAAAGCTTTATCAAGACAGCTTTTTTTCTAACATTTTAGTCAATTTACCATCATATTTTATCAGATCTGTTACTTACTGAGATTCTTTAAAATAATGAATTATGATAAGTAATATATTTTTTAAAAGTTGCGTGATATTTTGAAATATACAACTATTTTATCCATGGTATTTAATTGTACATTTTAAAACTATAAAACATTTTAAAATAAAAGTTGTATTCAAGGTGTTAAAATTCATTTCCTAAAGGATTATTTACCTACTCACACCCGTTAACCCTCGCGAAGGACCATAGGCCGCCCACCAGTATACCACATTACACTGTTTTCTGAGCAATCCTTTCCGGTTGGTTCCAGTTGCTATTCACCCCTTTTTTGTTTGCTCTTAACTCACAACGTAATGTGCTTCTTGGTCTTTCCCTACTCCTATTCCTTTCAGGATTCCAAGTTAGCGATTGCTTCGTGATGTAGTTTGATGATTTGCTCATTATATTTCCTATCTATGTCCAACTTCTTTTCCTGATTCCGTCTTGAGTTGACGTCTGGCTTGTTTCCTGGCATAGTAGCTTATTTCTGATGATATCCGGTCAAGGGACATTGAGTATCATGCGTAGACAATTGTTTATAAATATATATACTGTTTCGATTATAGTTGTGGTGGTTCTCCAAGTTTCAGCTCCATACAGAGAAACTGTCCTGACGTTCGTATCGAGGGTTATGACTTTGATATTGGTTGACAGGTGTTTTGAGCTCTATATGTTGTTCAACTGTAGGGAGGCTGCCCTTGCTTTGCAATTCTTGCCTTCACAAATGCATCATATCCTCCCTGTTCACAAATGATGATTAAAGTATAATCATGTTCATCTTATCAAACACAAATTAATACGGTGGCAGCTCATACAAATAACTTGGCATTGACGTATTCAGAAAATATATTTGTATATGTCTTCAAGGGCGATCTGCCCAAGTTTGTCTCACTGAACATTAGTCTAGACATGTTTTACCCTTCAAAACAAAATCATCTAAAAACAAATTAATCTAGTTATTATCAGCTGATTACATAAACATACAATTTCGTTATGATGTTTATTTTTTTCTGCCAAAATAAGCTTCAGGATGACATATGGCATTCATGAATTATTCACGATGAAACTTGATAATGAATGTTTAGATCTTATCATTAAACTAAGTTGAAGTTAATGATTTATTAATGAATTTTGTTCTTATTTGGTATTCTTCTGATTCTATATTCTTTAATTTAACAGTAAGGTTTAAAATAGCCTACACGGATACACATAAACATTCATAAATATATTTGGTCTATTTATCAGAATGACTACCATTAGACATTCACATCAAACCATCAAAACGTAATAAAGTAACTCATAACTATGGATTGAATTAATTTTCTTAAAGTAGACTAATAGACATATTTTTATTTATAAATGTAAATTGTAAACTGGTTTATGGCCACTTAGTGATTCAGATACTAAAATCATTTAGTAACATGGATACACTTTGAAAATCTACTCCTTTTTACAAGTACTATTTGTATAAAACCACAATACACGTGGAATCGATCAAAAAACAGATATAACTCCTTTATACACACAATTCTCTTTATTATCTTAAATAGAGCAACAAAAGATTGGGGAAGAATAATATGAATTCATTTTATTTCGTTAGGTTCTCATCAGCTGGTTACAATCTACTAACTCTGATTTTCAAATATTCTAGGTTGTAAGAAGCTTACGAGAACCTAACGAAATAAAATGAATCCATATTATTCTTCCCCAATCTTTGTTCTTGCTTTATTTAAGATAATTCCTTTATGCATAAATATTTTTAGTAAATTTCTTCCACTATCAATTAAAAAGTAAGAAATTTATGTATACTTTGAGAAAGTTAGAAAAAAAAGTATTTCAAGAGTAATCCTTTCCAGAGAACTGATAAGTGAATTCATAATTAATAAGCAAAGGTTGATAGTGACTAGCAGTGGAATCCTGACATGATGCACATCAGGAGATTGATGATTTGCGATCTGAAATAACAATGGGATAACACAAATAAAACACGACCAAGTGAATTATAATTAATAGCTTTGATGACAATATATTATGATTTATGAGGTGAAGAAATTTTAAATATTGAAAATATTTTTGTTAAATTTTATCTAGAATTCATTGTCATTAAACTACTATTAAGTTTAATTATTTTCCTCTCAATATTCATTGTAGCTTAGAAATAATTCAAATCGATTTCATGCCAAACAATTACTGATTTTTGCTGACTTGTGTGTTTGTTTTATGTATCTTCCAATATCAAGCTTAATTTACCTATTCTTGTACATTTTAAAGATCAAACTTGTTATTTACTAGACATATTCTGCCGTATTTAAAATTTGTCAGAATATCTTATTTATATCCCTATTTTTGTTTTCAGATGTAATTTGTAAATAACCGTTTGAACCCGTTTTCCGTGTTGTATTAAAACCAAAATATTTTTAAGTCATTATCTGAGCAATGAACATTTCTTTTGTTATAAAGTACAATGAATTTTTAAGAGGTAACTAATGATTAATTTGACCCCAGATTATATTCAAGTATATCTGAAGAAGATATTTATTGATTTGATTTATTTACGGTTAGATTCACATACATCGGACTGTGTAGTATTTAGCATCAGTTGATAACTTACTTTGCGAACGCATTTCAAATATCATACAATTAAACGTCTGTAATAAACAGATATATCTAATTGACTAAGTTATATAATTATTCCTTTTTAAGTTGTAATCAAATTCCACATACGGTTAGAAAAAAACAATCCTAGATATTGCTCACATTCTAATCAATTGCTCACAAAATCAAAAACACTTCAATATACTAGTCGATCGAATGTTAATCGGAGAGCATAGTGAAATTTGATAACCCTCAGTTGTCATGTGTTGAACCTATCGGGATAGCCTCGACATAGCCTTAATGACATAAATGTGTCTAGAATACATGTAATGTGGCTAGCAGTCAGATCTAGAACTCGGATGTGCAAAATGATCATACAAACCGTTACAAATTGAATTAAAAATTCATACCCGCTACATAAGTGAGTAGTCATCTAGACTCAGCAGCTAAATGAATAACGCGATGGCATTTGAACCCAGTGGTACTAGGTTCGAAAACTTTAGTGAAAATCAACCAGAATGCAGGCACATCCGACGGAGTAGTCCAAAATAGGACGAAACTAGGGTCCTGAATTCCACTACCAACCACGATTCATCTATTCCATATAAGCGATCGGAGGTTTTTGTTACTAAATATGTGTGGGTGCACAAATAGCTAACATAATTATAATCAAAACCAACCTAATGCGGTAGAATTAATGAATGTGTAAATGCTGAAGGAGAGTAACACAAAAACCAACCAACTACAATTATTTTGTATTAAAATGCAAGGTGTACCAAACTTTCTTTTATGTATTAACAACAGGCTGAAAGCGCTTGGTGAGAATTACCTTCACAAATTAGAGTAAAGAAAGCTTATATTGTTTAGCAAGTAGTTTGAATGACTCAAGAATATTTGCTTAAATTTCTTAATTTGTTAAGTGGCCGAAGGTTGTGAACATTTCACTTCCTTTCTGAGAATTGTGCAAGAATATATTCATAAGACTTATTCAAAACTTCTCTTAGCAATTTATGTGAGTACCTATAAATATATGGACTAACATAATCAGCTCATTCGGTGAATTAATTTATTTTACGTGGAGCCGTTTAATATATATATATATATATATATATATATATATATATATATATATATATATATATATATATATATTTCAGTTTGTTTTTTCTTAATGTCATGAAACGTTTATCACAAGATAGTACCTCTTTATACTAAAAAAACAAAGGCATGAATCAATAATCTTCGGTAAGTCAGTTATTGAATTCACCATCATCCAAGTTACATAATAACCAAACAGTCTGATTTTTAGTATAAATGCTAAGGTTAAACTTGATCGTTACAAATAAATTGAGTATTGTATAGAAAGTTAATAATAAATATATTTTTCATTAAATTCTAATAAATAGAAAAATTATATTTCCGATATTTCGTGACTTAATTTAAGCCACTTCTTCAAAGTAAATAGTTACTTTGTAGAATTGGTTACATAAAGTCACAAAACATCAGAAATACAATTTTTCTACATATTAAGATATAACAAAAAAATTATTTTTAATTAATCTGATTTACAATTCAAACTTTTCTTATAACTTTGATTTCTACTCCTGAATTAACAATAAATAAACTATAATCTAACTGCAGTTCAATAAAGCATTGAAATAAATTTTCATTATTATAAATAAGATTCTACCTCTATCTAACATGTTCATTTCATTTAACAACATTCATTTTCACATCCATTATTTGTTTGTAATTTACCGCCTCTTTGTATTCTTCACTATCTAATTATTTACACACTTCTTATTACGTAATGATTTTAATGTTTTGTGATGACTATTCCAAGTCTATTTACCCACGTTTGACCTTCTGTTTCCAACGTTTAACTATTGATAAGACTTTTATTATCATATTTTATTATTCTTACTATTATCAGTTCACCTGTCTTCCTACTACTATTAACTTGTACTTTTACCTATTATGTGTAGAGACTTATTCTATTTCACTGTGATTATTGACCCGAATTGCCTTGATTGGTTTACATTTTCGTAAAAATATTCGTGTATATTAGAGTAAAGCCTGATGACGATCTAATTGAAAACAATTGTTCGCATATATTCCATGGTCTTTTTTGAAGGATTAACTACAGAATATTTTTACTTACAAAAGATTTTTTCATTATTATTATTATCATTATTATTAGAATTTACATTGTTATTATTTACATGAAATGAAATCTAACAGAGTGCTACATCCAGTGCTTCCAAGTTTTCCATGGTAGTCTAGATTCAATGGACTCATGGTCTCAAATTCCACAAAACCCCCTCTGATGATAATTCCCATTTAAACATTAAAATTTAAAAACACGAAGTTCGACGAAGGAGTCTCTTTTCAACGAATTTATTATCAAGCTGTACAATTGTATATATATGAAAATTGTTTGTTAAAGTATTAATTCTAGTGAGGAAACGTGAAAAAAGGAATAATCAAGATGACGTAACAGAAAGATTATGATACTAGATTACGTAATACAAATAATAACAACAGACTTAGTAAATTAGTAACGAATTTTAGCGTGAATGTAGTAAGATTATTATTACTGCATTCCTCCTTTACTTATGTCTCATATTCTCATTATTTTATTCATAAGTACTCATCATATCACTTTATTTCAATTTATACCTCTATAATATTTAATGACCTTTAACTACTGTAACAAAAACCTTTAAGCCATCCTAGTAAATTCACGTTATAATTCGTTACTAATTTACTAAGTCTATTGTTATTATTCGTGTTACGTAATCAAGTATTAGAAACGTTCTATTACGTCATATTGGTTTTCGCCAAAACTATAATTTATGGACGAACCAACCACATATAAGATAACAGGTCTCGGATCTTGGTGCGAAATTCACTCATTCATTTGGTTAAATAGAGTTCTGGCATTTTAGCTGATGTCAATTTGTGATGAAAACCCTAAATCTAATTCCTAAAATTAATCATCAACTGTAAATCATAATTTTAATTCTTCACACTAGTTTATAAGCCCTATTTGGTGAACACCCTCAAGGTCACTAGGGCGTCGCTCAAACATCGTCCATAAGTTGAAGTCTCACCAAATTTTCATATATTTATATATTTACTTTAACACATAGATAATGGTACAAGGAGGCACCAAATAGATATGCGCCACATAAATCATTCAATTTGTGTGAGGGCTGTGATACTGCCCGGGTGCCCAAACCGAAGTAGGTGGTTATCTTGGGGGGCCACACCCCGAGCCTTTAGCCCGAACGTCTAACCCACAAGGTAGTGGAGCATCGTAAGGAGATGCAGTCCCATGGTAGCCGGTGACCAACGATTGGTTCATACGCCATTTGTTCCCTCAGGATACTGGAGCCCATGTGCACCATTGGTTTGAAATCCGGTTAAAGCGCCGGACATTCGCTTTTCGTCCTCTCAATTTCGTAAACAACACCCCTGCCACGAGAAGGCAATGAGTAGGACTTCCCTGGCAGAGTCTGTATACTCGTGGCCGTGTAAGAGCATTTCGAGAGGGAGGGCGGGCCCACCCCACTCCCGGCCA